AAAAAAAAAAAAAAAAACCAAAAAACAGTCCAATATATAAAGCTAGTAGGTAAACAATACATTTTACATGACAACACTTTGACTAGATAAAAGTGTTTTCAAGCTAAGTGCAGGCTCGAGTCAGGCAGACCTTGGTTGGAATACTCCCTTTACCGTATACAGCAATGTGACCTGCAGAAAGACACTTTTCTAGCCACTTTCGAACTGGTAATCATTGACAATATCATCCACATGGACTGTTGTGTGGAGACAATTAAACGATCTTATACAGGTGAATGAAGCCCCTTAGGTGCTCAAAAAAATGGTAGCTGCTCTTCTTACCATGAACAAAATTAATTACTTAAAAACTTTAACACACAAATGACATCTATAAAATGGGAATGGGGAATTACTGTGAAGATTCAATAAGACTATGATTTAAAAAAACAACTAGTTTATACTTATGGAGCACTTCAAAACACACCAAGCTCTTAAATTTTAAGTACTTTGGGCCGGGAGCGGTGACTCACGCCTATAATCCCAGCACTTAGGGAGGCCGAGGCGGGTGAATCACGAGGTCAGGCGTTTGAGACCAGCCTAGCCAACATAGTAAAATACAGTCTCTACTAAAAATACAAAAAATTAGCCGGGCGTGGTGGCGGGCGCCTGTATCCCAGCTACTTGGGATACTGAGGCAGGAGAATCATTGAACCTGGGAGGCGAAGGTTGCGGCGAGTCGAGATCGCGACGCTGCACTCCAGCCCGGGCAACAGTGTGAGACTCCGTCTCAAAAAAAAAAGAAACAATTAAGTACTTTAAAATGTGCCAGAGCAGTGCTTGGCAAGCAGTGAAAAACATTAGCTACTATAGTTCTTGCATTTAGCATCTCGCTAGATTGTAAGCACTGTAAAAGTCCCTGCTTGTCTTGTTCAAGGCAACCTGCAGTGTAGCAGGCACACCAGAGGTGTTCAAAAAATATCTGCTGAATGAATGAAGAGTAAACTTTGCGTTGAAGATACAAGCGCAAACACACGTTTCAACAATACCTGGATACTTTCATCGCAATTTTAACCCCCACCTCACCGCTTGCCTTTTAGGCCCCTAAAAGTGGGACAGTAATGGGAAGAGATGGGCGGAGTTACTTTACCTGAAGAACAGAGGATCTCTGGAGCACCTTCTCCTGCGCTGATGGGTACAAAACTAGTTTCTCCAGCAGTTCTTTGTGAAGCGGGTCGGACTCAAGGGCTTCGTGGAACGAAATGTCATGCTGGCTAAGAAGGCTGAACTTAGACTTTCGGTAGAAAGTGGCCAGGCCTTCGTGCTGCTTGATTCGAAACACCCCCTCTAGCCCGAAGGCCTCCAGGGCGGGTACCAAGCTGTCAGAAAACACTGCTCGGTCAACCTCCTGCAAACAGATGACATCGGCGTTGTAGCCGGTGAGTTCCTTCTGGATAAGGTTCTGGCGGTAGTCGAGCTCCAGGGCGTAGGGGGCACAGTATGGGTACAGGACCGTTCGCGAGAAATCAGTCTGCGCGTAGGTGTCTGCCAGGATGTTGTAAGAGACAGTGCGGATAAAAGCGTCCTCCGTTACCTTCTTCGTGTAGAGATGCCGGTGGTCAAAAGTGCAGGTGCCAGGCCCAGCCTCTACCCGACACACACTCTCCAACTCCCGGCTGGGCCCAAAGCGCTGCCCATCGCCTGGGGTGCAATGAAGCTTGAGCCTTAGCCCGATGTCGGCATTGGACGGAGTGTAGACGCGCTCCTGCACTTCAGTCTCGGCCCAAAAAAGAGAGGAGGGAGACAATGGCGAGGGGACACCGACCTCAGGCTCCGCCGCTCCGGGCTTGGCTTCCTTGTACCAGCGGAAGAGGGAGCCGGCGGGATCTCCAAATTCCAGGCCGAGTTTGGGGCACACAGGGAACCCGGCCATGATGTAGCGCGGCAACTGCAGTTCGGTGAAGGCGGGCGGGTTGCGCTCCACCTTGTACTTAACATCGCCGATCTGCAGCACCGCGCCGTCTTGCCAGGCGTCCACGTTGAGCACGTCCTCAGCCACTGCCTCCTCCCGGTAGTACAGCTTCACCACAGGCTCGCAGGCCACCGCCGGCTCGGACCCCGGCCCTGAACAGGACGCACCGCCGCTCGCATTCGGCCGGCTTTTCCTGCTCTTCTTGGCGGCGGCCGCCTTAGCGTGACCCTTTAGGGCATTGGTAGCGATGCGGCTGAGGACTCGACCCAGCGGCTCGCTCTGGTCGCGCTGCATGTTCTTGTGGCTGCCATCAGCCAAAGCGAATGACAGGCTCAGCTTAGGTTCAGAGGGTACACAGCGCACTACAGCTCGTTCCATCGCTCCCGCTGCCTTCTCGCTCTCTGCTTCAGCTCGGCTCAGCTGCTCCACCGCCGTCCGGATCCTCCGAAGCGCGGCGCGAAGGCCTGGGAGCCTCCACATGAACCTGGTGGCCTAGCGGTCGACCAGACCGGCGGCCAATCAGCGGCCTACTGTCAGGTGGAGCTGAGGAGCCAAGACCGCCGGCTTTGACTCATTCAGACCTCACGACTTCCGGCTAGCGGAGAGAAGGAATGAAGTGCTTCCGCCTCGCACTTTCGCCAGTCGCTTGGGCACTCACGTCTCTAATTCTCTGAAGATTAATTTTTATCTACAAGATAGGTCAGAATTATAGGGAAGTGAAGAAAACATAAAGGTGTCAGAGGAAAATACTAGATTCCATGATTGTCGAAAGTGCATACTGCAGACGGGAGGTAGCCTGCGCTCCAAGCCGGAAGTGGATGGGGCAGTGTCACGTGTTCCGTTTCGCTGGAGGACGTGGATGCCTGTTGTGGAATCTTGGCTGGTGAACGAACTCTCCTGCCTGCGCTCCGGGCTGGACTGCGCTAGGACGTGGACACCTCCACCTGGATTGCGAGCTTTACTCGCGGTGTGGAAGGTGTTGCCCATTTCATCTCCACAACATTGCCCACCCTAATCGCTCTTTTTGGTGGCGTGGTGCGTTCATCCCAGGCTGAGCCAGCGCCTACGCACGGAGCAGAGACTTTGTGGTAGATAATAACAAACAATATACAATAACTCCCATTTAGTGAGTGCAGACTATGCTAGAAACACTACACACACTATCATATTTAAGCCTCAGTTCTTCTCAGCTCCCTTTATCTGTCGCTTTACAGATGCGGAGTCCAGAGACATTAGCTGCTTAGGGTCACACAACTATTAATTGACAGAAAGAAATAGTACTGACAAACTATGGAAGGTTGTTTGTTGTTTTTTATTAGAGACGGGTTGTCACTTTGACACCCAGGCTGGAGTGCGGTGGCCTGATCATAGCTCACTGCCCCCTCGAACTCCGGGGCTCCCAGGATCCTCCCACCTCAGCCTCCCAGGTACAGGGATTACGGGCAAGAGCCACCCAGCTCTGCTCTGTTCATTGTTTGTTAGTAAAGAGATAGGAAGACTCTTTCTGTTTAGAGTTACTACATTTAACAAAATGACAGGACTCTTGGTTAAATTCGAATTTTAGATAAGCAAGGAATAAAAATGGGGCATACTTATCTTAAATAGTTGGCCGTGCGCCCACGCCTGTAATCCCAGCACTTTGGGAGGCCGAGGTGGACAGATCACAAGATCTGGAGTTCGAGACCAGCCTGACCAACATGGTGAAACCCCATCTCTATTAAAAACACAAAAAATTAGCCAGGCATGGTGGTGCTCCCCTGTAATCCCAGCTACTCAGGAGCTGAGGGAGGACAATCGCTTGAACCCAGGAGGTGGAGGTTGCTGTGAGCCAAGATCACACCACTGCACTCCAGCCTGGGCAGCACAGCAAGACTCTGTCTCAAAAAAA